TTTTTTAAAAGCTAACCTTGTTTTTATATCCAATGGATGTCCAGTTTGTGCCAATATTAACACATTTTTTGTCGCGGTCGGTGACAGTTTGTGGAAACAGTTAGAGCTGTACAATGCTGACAGTTTGCATACTAAAGACAAAGACATTGTCACCTTCTGTTGTCGTCGCTGACATTATTTTACAATTTGTGAGGCTTTATTTGACATTTGCGGCACATAAATTTTAATTTGGTTTCATATGTTAAAACAGACAATATTTACATATCTTTAAATTATACTGACATTAATTAAATTTCAAAAACATAACATGATGTGGCCGATGTCGGGCATGCATGAAATATATTCATAAATTTCAACTCTTATACGACTATACCCCAGGCAGAGCTTTTAAAAAAGAGTCTGTAACAAGACACTTTAAAATAACTGTTATCGCCCACGTGGATTTAATAGTGCAAATGAAATGTACGTTGTCCTGTTTGCATCAGTTAAATGACAAATATTGACATGAATATTTTTTTTACTAAAAGTCTTGTGTCTCCCTTTTGCATAATATAGATAAAGTAGCGAGAGTTTAACATTGTTGAGCTTAACTCTTACAGCAATTCAATGTTGAATTCTTTTATCCAAGTGGGAGTCAAAATAAAAAAAATCGCGATGATAAATATTATGTCTCGCATATTTCTTTCGAGAGCTGTAGCTTATTTACAAAAGAAGTGATTATGAAAAAAAGTTCTTTCTAAGAAAATGGTTAATCTATGTATTAACAAGAGCTTTCGGAAGGACAGCGTGCTCGACTATTGTCATTGCTTTATAATAAAACAAGAGCCTGGATGATGTAGTTCACAAATGAACATAGTTTATGTCAAAGTCCGTATTACAGTTATGGGCCTTTGATAGTGACCTATACTATTATTCTCTAAAACAAGTATGTGAAGTTTCAACTCATTCCCTTCAGTAGTTTTCGAGATGCAAACACTAACCAAACTGAGATGCCGACACTGACGCCTGAGTGAGCAAAGTAGCTCTCCCTTTTCTTCGAATAGTCGAGCTTATACAAAATATTTAGTTGATGTTGTATCTCAACAGGCGACATTTTAATTGCCCCCAAAACGGAAAGTTGTGGTGAACTTAATCGCGCAATTCGGGAGTAAATCCACAAGTTACCAAGTCGTGCGTACGAGATAATTAAGTGGTGCGGACAAGATACTTTGTACGCAAATATGTCATTTTGTTTTTCTGTTTTCCTAAGTTATATCTTGTGGCAACGAGCTAGCATTTTGCTTTGTGTTTTTTTTTTCTGAGTTATATCTCGTGACTACGAGATTGGACATTGAAAAAGAATCGGAATGTCCCCTCCGTGCTTCCATATATACTTCACTGCTGGCAGGCAATAATACTTTTCTTATCAGTAGCATCGCATACGGTCTTCATTACGTTTAGCGTGCGAATGAGAACTTACCAAATTTCAGGTTAAAAACGATATTCATTTAACATGGCGCAATACAAGTTTAGAGTCGGTTTCAATTTTGATCGAGTTTTATCACACGTAATCGATTTTAATAAATTTGACTATATACTATGGTAGGCAGCCATTTTAACATGTTTGTAATGAATGAAAGTGAATTCTGTCCGATTGAAATCAGTGCACGAATTTTTTTTTGAAATCAATTTACACTCTTATTTTCCGATGTTCTCCACGAAACATCACCAGATTGACCATGGAAAGACAGAAATTTTAGAAACCTAGAGTGCCTAAAGCGTATGAAATAGGTTGAATAGTAAAAAGAAAAACATCCGTTTTCTATGGACAAAATGGATTAACACGCCCGTTTAACTCACAACGAGTGAAAAATGTCCATCGGTTAAAATGTTGTGAGCAACTTCCGTTCCTCGTTGTGAGCACCCATCTAGGACGTGTGACACAATAAACAAGGTGAGTTTTTCATAATTTTTGAACATTACAGACATTTATGTAAAAATATCGGAATGCAGTTAGCTAGCGATGTGTTTTCCGAGTATGCACATGTAAAGATATTGCCTGTTGGTGGACAATTCACTCGTGGTAGCTGGAAAACTGGAGATAACTTCTCTCCAGACCAAATTTAACATTGAAAACGTCGATTCTTGTGAAGTTTTGTGCATTCTAACCTTAAACAGATGCCCACAAGTCTTCAGCGTAAATTATTATCTGAAAGTCTTCATAGAAACGAAGATATACCCTTTTTTCTTTAATCCTCGTTGTGAGCACCATAACCTCGTTGTGAGCAAGACAAGCGCAGTGCTTGTCTGGTTTTAATATGTAATTCAAATGGCGAGAATACAACTTTCAATCTACCAAAAGCAATCAAAACGTTATTGCACAATATTTTTTTTTGCAATAGTTCTTCTTTTTCTACATAACTTGGCCAGTCTAACATGAATGAAGCTCAGGATAAATACAGGCATGTTTATATCTCGCAACACGAAGTATATGCAGTTAAATACATAATTTCCCTCCACTTATTATAGTTCACTACCATTTGCACAAACAGCAAAACATTTGCAAAATCATAGGTATATTTACCATTATCTATTAAGCTAAGAATATACTTGTTTAGTGTTTAAAAGTTAAAACACACTAAATAAGTAATCCTCCGCGAAAAACGATAGTCGCATTATAACAGATTCAAATAGTTCTCAGCGTTTGTTTGCTCTGTAGAGCATTTTTCATGGTCTTTCTTAGAAAGCTCATGACAGTCTGTGTTTGACATTTAAATAGCATTTTCATCATGAAATAGTGGCATTTTTAGAAATCTTGACTTCTTAGGTGTTACACCACTTGTATAATTTTGGGTTAGCTGATTTTACAGTGTGTTTGACTGAAAAGAATGTTTTGCAAGAGACATGACCCCAACTTTTCTTTTGATTTTTATGCATCACTGACAGTTTTTCTAGTAGTTCTTATCTTTTTAAGGCCAGGGCAACGACCCCATGTCCAATCACTGAAATGTTGAAAATTATTCTTCATATTCATAAGTCATCAGATTAACAGAAGAACTAATCAGGGGAGGTAAGTCAGGTATTTTTATTTCGTATACTATAGTGTGGCACGAGTGAACATCACGGGGAGCTTATGAATATTTCAACAATTTCACAATTTGTGTGATACACACATATATGTGTTTATCCTGAGCTGAAGACTGACAAAAGTATGTAGAACAAGAACTGTCACGATAAGTTGACAATGCCCCCGAAGTGGTGCTTTGTCCTTTGATTTATGGACAAGATAGATTACTTGTTTTTGGACAATTAGATATTCAATGTGATTAATTAATTCCACTTACTACCGGTAATAAGAAGTTATGACCAATGTTCAAGTTTTTGGATGTTCTAGAAGGTCATTCAGGGGTCAAGGTAAAAAACAATACAGATCAGTTCGTCATGAATATTGCACATGATGTCTTCCTCCGTCAGTAAAGCAGGAAAAACGCAATATAACACACGGTGTCGGTGTGACTTGTAATTTAACAAAACAAGCAACCAATTAGAATTATCCCTTTGCCTTACCAAGATAAACACTAGATATTAAATAACAATATCCATGTTCATAATAATTATAAAATATATATCTTTTGAACACCAATGATACATTTTGCACAGTCACATATATAGCGATTCATGAATGGGTTTACACCGTATATATAAATCTTAATATAAAAACGGACAATATATATAAGAAAAGATATGAGTTAGAACAAACGCCTTTAAGACATTATATTCTATACCTCAGTACAATATTTCCAGGAAAGTGTTTACTTTCGATATCATTCGTGTTTTTGGCTACCTTGGCATTTTTTTCGTCGTGTTTCATAAATATGTTTCAATACAATAATGCATAGATAAAAAAATCTCGATAAAGTGTGATCACTTGGAAGCATCAATCGCAACAGAATCACATGAAAATTGCAGACTCGCCATGACTGAGTCTGTACACGAGAAATAATGAAAAAGTGCAACATCCCTCACGTCTCCCAGCACCGGCTTGAGCGGTACTCAATTTTCAACACCTAAAAGTGTTGGAATCAATGATAAAGATGGGTGCCCGATAAAGTTGCAAAAACGTTTGAACCAACCCTTTTGCACATTGTATAGAAATGTTTATCTAAACATGGTGATTTTTTACATTTGCGATAGAAGATAATTAAATCCAATACAATAACGCATTCATTACGTTATTGGTTTTGATATTTGGTGTGTGAAACATTTTCTTTTCAAGTTTGGCTATGTTCTTCAAAACTTTACTGCAGCATGCAGGGACAAGGAAAACGTTTTACATTAGTGCTTAGAGTAAGGTGTAGTCCACCTTTATCTGGCTTGAATTTTCCAGTAGTGGTTTCGCTGCTCCAATGCGGTGTCCCTCTGCATAAGATGTATTATTCACAATGTTTTGAAAGTCAAGTAAAAACATTAACCTATTTTGAACACTTATATAAAAAAAACAATCAAAATGAACCATTCTGTTAGAAAATCATTAACAATGTAACCTTTTGTATTAGTTTTATTGAACAACAGCAACAAATACGTGTTCATGAGTTAAAGAACATTTTACTTATTTCATCTTTACGGTAAGAATACAATAATTTTCAAATGAAAAAGAAACACAGCAAAATAAAAGCATACATGTATCTACAAAAAGATTAATTAATTGAAAGAGGTACGTGCCAGTATTGATAAAAAAGAGTGTGGGTCCAGAAAACCGGTATATTTGTCATCAGTCAATGGGGCATACTTCTATCTTCCTATAATAATTATCTAGATACAATTCAAAACATTAATGCAACAAAAATAAGGTAAGTGTACCACCCATGCACAAACTAACACTACATCTGCTTATAAGGTCAAAATATTATGCTCATTTAACAATATAGTTCTGACAATGGAGCAAAGAGCTATATTTGTAGACTATTTGAATGTGAAAATCATTGTTGGCTTTAAATGCGTTGAAAGCTGATTGATTTACACTTCAATTTACACATCTTTAAATCTTCTAATATTTATTAAGATGTCCAATACGGATATTTGGTCTCTGTATCTGAAACTGAAATCAAACAAAAAAGAAGAAATGGAACAGTTCGACATTACATATAAAACCGACACAAAAAGCATGATCATTCTATTTTTTTTTTTTTCAAATACATAAGTATACGTTTTATTATCGTATTAATTTAACAAATGTCACGTTTTCTTAGCGATGAAATAAAATTTCAAACAAATATCGACATTTTAGAATATATTTATCAGATATCAGAGAAATCAAGTTTTATTGTTGTGTATACATTTAAGATGGTATTTTAGTTTCTTGTATTTGGCCTTTTTCAATTTTGGTGGTTCCAGTATTCCTACTTGAATACTGTTTAATCACCCTTAGGATATGTTGCCTGCTTTTTAAATTTGTCTTTTGACGTCTTGCCTGTGATATGCAGGCTTCATAACCTCAGATCCCCTTTCAAAATTCCATTTTAATTAGTTCCGCCCATTGTTTTCTCGTTTAGGGCACACGCATTCTTTTACTTGGGGACCATACGCCGCTTTTCATGGAATGACACTTGTGTCACGTTGAAGGTTCCATGATAACCGCCGTATGAACACATCTGCGGATGTTTCTAAATTCAAAACACCATTTCCGTGTTAAAATGTTGAATTCTGCTTAAGCCGGTGCTAGGGGGCGTGGACGGTAACTTTCAATTTCCATTACCGTCCATGAACAGGCTAAATCAAACCGAGCCTGCAACATTTTACAATTTTGTCGTGTTGGGCTGTCTTTAGGGATTCTGTTTTTCACTATTTCTAGAAGTAAAGAATGTTTATATATTTTGCATGTTAAAAATTAGAACTTAAAACGTATTGATTGTACCTAGATTTGAGAATTAACTAAACACAAATAATTTACCTTTGAATCTGTGTCAATGTAATCATACACAGATGGGCCAGTATTGTATTCAGTTTCAGCTGAAGATTTATGACTAGATGGCTGGTAAATATAAGCCTGCAGAATAAAATATAACGATATGAACGAATTTTGTGTCGCCTTTACAAAGTTATGACGACAGACGATCAGACAGACATCTTGACAGACAGACGACAAAAATTGATCCATAGACAGCCGTACGTACAAACGACGAAAAAGTGATCCATAGGGTACCAAAGGGATCACTTTTACGTCGTCTGTCTGTCTGTCTGTTTATAGGTCACAAAACTTGTCCTGATTAGTCCTCAAAAACTATTGGTGCAATTTCATCCACACTTTACAGGAATGTTCAATAGCAAATCGTCGGCATTTCCGGTTCAATGATTTTTCTCAGAGTTATGGCCCTTTAATGATTTTCACATTAACGTTTGTCCTGGTTACTCCTCTGATACCACTTATCCAATTTCAATGAAACAACTTTACAGGATTGATCTTGCTCAAGTACTTGCGCATAATACACGGTTTATTTGGTTGAATGGTTTTTGGCTGAGTTATGGCCCTTGAATAAAAAACGCGTTTGCCATGTTAATAATTTTTGTTGTCTCCTGACACACACTTGCTGCAACATGCAACTGGCTATCATCAGGCGGCGACACATGTGATCACTGATCGCTCTTGTATTATTCAACTAATAAAAACCTTTTCACGAGCTATATTATTTACAGTATTATTGTAAAAGAAAGTTGAGTGCTTCTGATTTGTATTTATTAATCAAATACCCTTTTACTGTGACAGTTTATGACTGTTGTCACATAAAACAATACAAGTAAAATATTTAATAAAGATAAATTACCTCATCCCCCTTATCGTCTTTGTATAGTCTATGTTCTCGACCCTGGAAATATGTCACATCCTGCTCTTGGAGTCGTGTTTTATTATCATTTGCTACTGATTTAACTCTCGCTCGATAAAGATTTGCGTTTAAATCGCTTGACCTTTCCCAACCAAAATCATCCATTTCTGCAGAATTAACATCTGTGTTTGTTAAACTGTGAAACGAAAGAAAGAGAATTAATATTATTTCAACAAAGTGACCTTAAACGAATAATGAAACTAAACTCTGGCCTTTTGACATCCGTTCCTATGAAACTCCGTTTTGAAATCCATGTCATATAGACTTAGTGATAGTAAAACATTTCCTGTCCAAAAGAACCTGAACTGGTCTAGTCCTTGAACTTCCTGTTAGTCAAGACTTTTTTTCATTTAACATTGTTAGAATACCTTATGCTGTTTATGTTACGTTACAAATTGTCATAGTGCTTAAAATACTTTTTATTGTTCCTGTCATGCATAGATGCTTGTTAAAGTAGAAGAAACAAACTTACAATAATGTCTTCATTTTTCTTTTCATATGAATTAGACATGCGACAGCAACAACTGCAATAATGAAAACGGCACCACCACTTCCTGATGCAATAGCTATGATATATACGGAGTCTAATTTCAATTCTTCTGCTTTTCTCTCGCAATATACCCCGTGGTACACGAACCCATTGCTATTTGAACAGCTGTTGATTTAAAGGAAATAAGTAACATGGAAATTTTTTAGAATCAATTAAATTAAATTAAATTTAACATAAACGATCAGTTGTATAAATATTCGTTTTCTCGTTTTTAAGACATCATAATTTCCATGTCAATATAAAATCGCACCCGTATTTCTTTCCAGGATTTTAAGATATTAAACGAATTATATCATTTCTTCATATTCAGTAACACATTTCCTTAATTAGACAATATTCATGAACCGTAAATGGAATATTCATGTTTTGGTTATTTTATTGTGTTAAATAGAATATTTTTAAAATCTAAGCGTTTTGCTTATGTTCTATAGATTTTATTCCTTTATACAAGTGCAACCACTTAAGTATTATTGTTGAACAATTTTATTGCACAACTATAAGCCGAACATGATAACGTTTACATAATTCGATCATACTATTATAAGATAATGGGTTGCGCAAGTTATTTAATTATTAGATATTGCTTTTTTGCATTATAGACAAATAAATGTGTGTATACGTTCATCCGAGTAGCGTAGTGGTTAGATACTTCAGGTTATGAGGCGCTTTGGTTATAGATTTCGTGTTCAAATCTGCAATTGTGCACGTTGTAGGTGGTAAAAGATTTAGATGATCAATTGTATGTTTTTCTATAAGGAATTAACGACACACCTATTTGTCAATGTAAACAATAGCGAATTCGAGCTGTACTTAACATACGATATAGGCAGAATATACTCACCAATGTATATTTCGACAGAGACAGGTACTCAGTAATGAAGGACCAAAATCGACTTTTAAAAGTTGTCTTTCATGATATAAATAATTTTATATGTGAAACTACCTGCATTTTCCTTTGTATGTTTTAATATCTACGTAGCATGTTCCATGGTTTCCACACAAATTACTACCATCTTCCTTCCAACAAATTTCAGTGCAAATGGGTTTTTTATTTTTCATCTCGCATCGGTATCCCGTTGGACAAACTGCTTGAGAAAAGTACTCACAACCAGATTCGACTGGAAGTTATAAATAAAGAAAACCGTAAGGAAAGCAAAAACATCAGAAATACCATAACGTTTACAGGCTTCAATTTTAGGAGGACTATAAAGAGATATTTCATATTGCTGTTGAAACCCTTCTCCATTATTTTAAATTATTATGCATAACGAAGTTTGAAATGGGGTATGCTTATTTAAGACTGTCCGTCAGTCCGGCTGTCTGTTTGTATGACTGCCTGTATGAGAAATTACTCTTTTATTGATCAACTTTCTTTACTAAAACAAACTTTTCAGGTAGTTTTGTTATAGTTCTACTTTCCTACATGATCGATTGAGCAAAAAATACTGGCCGTCGATGCTAATTTCTTAAATGTTTGCTGAGGTTGGCTGTAAATATTATGTAACTTTGCAATAAATGAACTTGAACATAAGAATCCTTTTAACAATACTTTCAAGAAGGTTAAACTCAATTTTATATGACTTTGACCTCTATGATAAAGTTTTTTGCATTTTGCTAAAATTGGGTATAATTGTATTAGTTATGGATTAATTTCACTTATACTAGATCAAAACAACACTAAGCATAAAGCCGTCATTTTAACATTAACCTGAAAACTTGGTAAAATTGGCCATAACTTAGTTATTACTGGATGTTTTGAATAATGAGGCAAAACAACCTTCAAGTAGCCAAAACTGAACTTAACCGCGACCTTTACATGACCTTGACCCTTACAGTTAAGTTATTGATTTTTACTAAAATTGGTCCATATACCAATTCAATTTATACTTGGACAAACCAAAAATTACCAAACATTTACTATTTTGAGCGATATTCATATGACTTTGACCTTAAAATGACCTAAACAGATAAGGTCAATTAATTAAATTTGGTAAAATTGCCGAAATTGTGTTAGACTGATGCGAGTAAAATTTTGATCAACTAACCATCACGTAAGATGAAATCGTCAAATGGAGAAATTGAAGAATGACATAGATATATTTCGTGTAAAACTATTGAATTTTCATAAAATTGATTAAATATTGGTTAAAATGAATGAATTTGTCTCATATTTGTTTATCATTGTTATCAATGAATGTTAATGAATCATATTTGAACAGACAAAACTACTCAAGACCTTGACCTTTAATTGGCATTGACCCTCAAGGACAACTTGAAAGATTTATTTAAATTTTAATTCTTAGAAACCTAAGCAAATATTTAATAAATAACTCAGTGATGTTGTTCAACATCATCATACTGCCTGGAACTGAATATGATTTAAACCTTAAAACGATCTTCAAAATTAAATATTTGATCACACACTTATTGTTTTAATTTCGAAAAAGAATACTTCTAAAATATCTGTATGAGTGAATATGTTTGTTTATTTCTGTAAGTGCCAGCGCGAATGCAAGACAGAATTGATAACAGTTAAATCACTGCTTAGAAAAGAAAAAAATGTAATTGAACATTTTATCTTAATGCCAATAAAGGTATTTTACTACATAAAATTTGGGATTGAGTAGGAAGCTTATAAAGCTTTTTTGAAAATTCGTATATGACTGACTTTTGACAGACTTTCACCATGAAGGCTTTCATTAATCTAATTTGAATTTGGTAATAAGAAAAGTCGAGTTTTGCACTTGTTTGTGAAGGCCTTTGAGTTTGGAATTAAATGCTTTGCTAGTGTGGGATATTAATCACTTTCAAATATAGTTTTAATTGCATTTGAGTTATGTTTGAAATTAAAACATACATGCGTAAAATGTAATGTAATAACTTTTTGCATAGTTTCAAGACTGTTTTCTAAGTATAGATTAAAGTTTTTAGTTTTTAGCCGCGCGACCAATTTATTTTTTTAAATACTCGTACATACTAACAAATTTTAACCAGCTTAGTGTTTTAAATTATTTTTATAAACAGTCGATTTACTAGACTGATTCACAATCTAACCGATTTACCAAAGTAAATGTGTTACGATTCATTTAAAATACTGCAATCCTATTAAACAAAAATAATTTCAAACACGTTACTCACCATTCACAAATTATATTCTATTGGATCTCTTATAAAATAATACGATTATTTTAAAAATAAAAAGTATCAAAGATTAATAAGCATACTAAAATGTTACTTACACTGTTTAACTGTTTGCTGGATATTGTCTTCTAAAAAGGTTTTATTAACACTGAATTCTAATATTTTATCTGGAATCTTATCCAAAACTTTTTTCGTGATATGAGTTTTGGCTTCAGCAACTTTATCATAAGACTCAATAGTAAGTTTGTAATCCGCTATAATCGATCCTTTTCTGAAATATAAATATTTGAAATATAACAATGTTCTTCCTATACGCTCTGTTAAATATGCAAGAACAGAATCGCATATTATATCAGTTATTTATGATTAAAGGTCGATGATAAGAAAACAGTTGGTAGCCTGGATAACTGTTTCAATAGTGAAAGTTTCTTTTAACGTTGATCTTAGCTTTTCAGCGTGCCAATCTCCTTCTATTTGTCCATACATTGTTCACATTAGATGTAATATCTACATATAACAATTCACGAAGCCGTTCCGACAAATGTAACAAAGTTTTAAATTATGTAAGAAATTAAATAAAAATATTTTACCTAAATGCATAAACTTCCACGCCAAGGTATCCTGGAGTACCGTAATATAAATTGTTCAGCTACAACCAAATTAAGATGTATTTTAGATAAAGAAAGAATTAGGAATGTTATATAAACTACTCTGATATAAGTGACAAACACTTGATTTATATTTTATATAGTATATGATAGTCTTTCAAAAACTATAACAGAACACCAAAAAATAAAAGAAAAATGCCAAGTGACAAAATAGCGTTTCTGGGGCCTACATAATTGACCTCCACTGCGTTTTTTCAGCCATGTTATTTTCAGAATAATTTTCTCATCTGTGAACATTGACTCAAAATGGAAAGCGCTAAAACGCTCTTAACTAAAATTGGGACCAAATTCGCACAAAAATACGATTTTTGTTTTAATCCCAAGTATATTTCTCAGTCATATTTTGCATATCTTTTCGTTTTAAGTGCTCTAGATGATATATGTAAGTTTTCTGGCGTTTGGACCTAAGTGGAGTTCACATAACTCATACTTTCACGTCCTAAGAATAGAAAGTTTACATCGTATACAATGTTTATACATTTACAAACAAGTACATGGACTTAGAATAGTTACTTAATATATCATATTATTTCTAAGACATGTAAGAATTTTACATTACCTTGTTTTCAAATGATTCTTTGTAATGTTTAAACTTTTTTGAGTTATGATTATACAAAGTTTTATCAAAAGGTGTGTTTGCGTCTCCAACTTCAATTTCGAATTGAATTTTCACTTCTTTGCCTGTGAAAAAGAAAATAATCAAAGTAAAATTCTAGTTAGTAAACAATTTATCAGCTTGACAAAAATGACAATCAAAACTAAGTGCCAATACAAACTGAGTAAATAATTATCAAACAAAAGTAGTCCGCAAGAAAGCGCGGTTGAATGTTCTCACTGCTTGACTGTAAGAAAAGGGGGATAATTCTGCAGACAGGTAACTCAGAGTTTTCGGACCTGTGCCCATCATTTGAAATCATCACAGAGCAAGGATCAAGTGTATAACGTTTCAAACCATTTCCTTTAGTAGTTTTGTAAATACTTAATTGCACGCAAAGATAAAGAAAGTAGGACGCCGACGCCGGTTTGAGTACAACAGCACTACCTTTTCTTCGAACAGTCGAACTAAAAACAAAATATTCTTAAAATAAGGTTAAATGCTTACCTGTGTTTGGTGTAATAGGAGGATGTTTCTCATCTATTGAAGGTGTTGTCTCATCGGTGACTATTGTGAAAATGAAATAACAAAACGTACAATGTTTAATTGCCATGCATTTACATTGTCAACTCTGTAAACTACACATGCCAGCAATAATTATAGCTCTGCTCATAAATCTAAAATAAGTTTTGGGTATAATGCTAATACACGTAAATTTTATACAACATTTTACTTTTAACCAATATAGTAATTAATGCAAAGGCTCACTACTTAGTACGCTTTTTCAGTAGAATGATTTAGACAAGCGTTTCTTGCAGACAGGATTATTTACCGTTTGCACCGGTTCTAGAATATAAGTATCTGATACCGGCTGTCGGTCGAGTTTCCGCTTAACAGTTACCAGAGAGCTTGATATTCCGGTACGTTACGACAGCCGACAACCGATGTTTGATTATTTTCCTTGCATTTTACATGTTAATCATATTTTGAAAAGAAATTACGAACACTAATATGTAGCAGGTTTTGCTTATAGTAGCGTATGAATTTACAACTTTATTCATAATGACCAAATGACGTCATTCTAAGAATGCATGAAAGGCGCACGGGAGTGACCTCATTTAAAGCACGCGACATGTCTAACCCGACGGGGTGTAAGACAGATTTTTCTAGCACCGGTGTAAACAGTAGATAATCCTGTCTGATACGCAAGAAGATCCGGTGTTAGACTTCCATTTTCTGCATTTAATAATAAAAACTATAAGCTGGAAAAAAAATGAAAACGTATCCACCAGGTTTCGAAACCACATGCTGAATTATTTTTCATATTTATAAGCGGTCTTACCAACTACGTTATAGAGTCAAAGGGAGAAAATATCTAAAAATATAAAGCGCATAACTTTATTTAATAGTAATAATTTATCACTTGCGGTTTACTTAGTTGATTTTTCAATGGACTGTGCTTGTTTCTTAAGAACTAACAAAAGCTCTGTTTAACGTAGTCGAATTATAACCATATTGTACATGAATATACATTGATCACAGATGTTCTTCAACAATATAATCTTTTGCATACCTGTTTAAAAATTTTACATAAAAATATTTTTTAATTAATATCATATAAAAAAGATGTGTTACCGATTTGAAACCGTTGTCACATTTTTGTCTCATTTCAAACCAATAACATATATTAAAGTGTAATAACTATACCCTTATTCTCTTTTCTATACGCATACTGTTAAATCGCTTCCAGATATACAATAAATGGTGTTTTATAGCAAAAAATAAAATAAATAAGACAGGTTTTGTCATAAAAAATTGTCAGGGTTTTTATATTGATATTGGGGAGAATCTTTCACGTTCATAACTGTTTGTCTGTAAAACAAGCAAGTCCTTACTTATTTATTAACGAAATACTTCAAACGTTTCAGAAATAACCAATTAATGTGCAGCCTTTTCACAAATAACGAAAACAAGTCTTACCTTTAGACGTTGTAACATTCTGTGTTTGGGTTGGTTGCACTATTGCACTTGCTGTAGTCAACGCAAGTTCGTTTGTAATTGATGATGCTTTCGTTGGTGCTATATTAGTGTTAATTATTAACTTTGATGTTTGGCTTGATGTTGTTATTTTAGCTGAATGTGTGGGGTTTGATGTCATTGACGGTGTTGACGTGATCAGTATTGTTTTAGACGATGCCGTATGTAATGTTGTTTTAGGGAGTGTTGTTGAGATTGGTGTTGTTTCTAACTGTACTTGATTTGATGTTGTGTTAGATACTGATGTTTTGCTTGATGTTAGTGTGCTAAGTGTTGTTTCAGAAGATGCTAAACTTAATGTTGTTTTACAATGTGCTTTTGTGCATGTTGTTGGTTTCGAAGGTGCTATGTTTGATGTTGTGTCAGAAAATGATGTTGTGCTTGATATATTTTTAGAAGGTGTTATTGTGCTAAGTATTGTTTTTGACGGTGCTATGTTTAACGTTGTTTTTGAAAGTGTTCTTGGGATTGGTGTTGATGTAATCAGTATTTTGTGTGTTGTTTTGTCAGATATTGATGTTTTGCTTGGTGTTGTTGTGGTTAGAGTTATTTCAGGAGATGATATATATAATGTTGTGTTATTCATTGGTATGTTTGAATTTGTTTCAGATATATTTGTTGTGATTAGTTTTTTTTCAGACGAAGTTGTTGGTTTGGACGGTATTGTGGATGCTATTGAGTTTGACGATGGTATGTCTGATATTGTGTTAGATTGTGTTATTTTCATAGACGATGTTGAGTAAGAAAGACCTATTCTTGATGTAAGTTCAGATGGTTTTGTTGTGGTTGAATTTATTTCATTTTCTGATATGTTGAATGAGTTTTCTAAGGGTACTATGCTTGATGCAATAGATGGTATCGGAGTGCTTAACGTTGCTTTAGACGGCACTGAATTTGATACAATTCCAGACGTTGTTTTTATTTTTAATGTTGTTTGAGACGCATTTGCTGTACTTGGCTGTACTATATTTGATATTGTTTCGGTTAGTGTGCCTGTGCTAGTTATTATTTTAGATGGTATTGATATGCTTTGTGTTGTTTGAAACTGTTTACGTGTTTGTGACATTGTCTCCGACGGTGCTATATTTGATGTTGTTTCAAACGGGCTTGTTACATGTGGTGTTGGTTTAAATGGTGTTGAGATGCTTTGCATGTTATCAGCCGATGTTATGCTTGATGTTGCTATAGACGGCGTTTTTGTTGTTTCAGTTGTTACGTTTGATGTAGTTTTAGACGGTGATGCTGTAATTGGTGTTGTTTGAAAGGATGTGAAGCTTAGAGTTGTTTCAGTCGGCTCTAGTGTTGTTGTTTTTGACAGCGATGATGATATTGAAGAACTTGCTGATGTTCCATATCTTGTCACCATCGCTGCAATTATTTGATAATAATATTGAAGCATTTTTCTTGTATTTAATGCATTGTTTCCATGGAAATAGATAAGTACTTTTTTAGTTTAAGTTACAACCAATATCCGTGTTTGGTAAACTCCTATGCCCCGTCCTAATTCTTGTCAGATACCAGTTTAACTAAAACGGCCAGCCTATTCAGAAGGGAATATTCACCATGTATATCCATTAATGCAAATAACGCAAGTATAGTGCAAAAGTAACGCAGAATTGTGCAATTTAGTGACTAAAACGAGCACCGCCATAAGTAAATGAGTAAATATTTTATTGCACACTAAATTGGAAGAAATGTGCATACGGTTGCTGAGACATTATACTTTAAACCTCATCCAATTTTTTCCATGAAAAGGTTTGTTTTTCAAGATCATTCGTGAAAATGACGACCTGACTAGCTTTAAGTTCCGTTGATATCTTTAAATTCAATAACGTACACATTACTTTATGATTTTTATATTCGGTGTACCTGAGACATTTTCCAATCTACTCGTGTCATATTACACTTAAATTAGCAGATAAATCGTAATTGACACCATTTTTACAAGGTTACGCCGAATTCGTTAATTAAGCACTGAAGCAACGGCCTTTATCTCATTAAAGTAGCTAAATTCTATTTTAACAGCTTCCTTATATTGTTATACGACACTTGTAGAGTGACAAATGTCTTAGGCATACAGAATATGAAAAGAGTTTTAAATGTGTTAAATGTACATATGTATTTGACGAAACACAAAAGTCACCTTCAAAACGGTAAACAGGTAGACTTTCTCACGAATGATCTAAAGAAGTAAACATACTCCTGAAAAATATTGTTATGCTGGTTAAAGTAAAATGAGTAACAGCCACTAATTCATTTCTTTAAAATTTGATTTAGAATATAATATTTTGGTTCGTTTTCCTGCTGTGTTATTCGTTTTGGCAATAGCGTTGCACAGATTTGGCGTTACTTTTACTTGCACATTGTTAATTGCACATTCATGCGTTCCTGGATATGCACGGTGATATTGCTCAAGAAAAATATGTTTACACAGTTACATAACTTGACATAGTCAAGACCATTTGTTCTTGTCTGACAAAAAATTAAATTTGCATGTAATTGCTATGTGGTATTATAACATAATCAACTTGCAGAGATAGGGTTTATTTAACATATACACGCAAGAACTTGACCTTGAATCCAGTAACCCAAAACTCGAACATAATTAAAACGTCAATAAACCGTATCTTTTTACCGTATATAAACTTTTAAAAGACAATAATCATAAATTAAAACAAGGCTGTATAGCAAACAAGTGAATATATTTTAAACACCGGTGACCTCCTTGGCTCTATAAAGGTACAGGACCACCAAAGTATGTCTTTGTTAAGAATATCAGGTATCACTGTAAAAATTATGGCTGGATTGGAGATGTGTAAAATTTTACATTTTAAAATAACTTGACAAAAATGGACAATGTGTCGCGGCTAAGGCTCATGTCCGTCTGTCCGTGTGTCCCCACTTACACAACAATCATGTCCAGACTGTAACTTTGTCATGCATTGAGGGATTTTAAAATAATTTGGCACAAATGTCTATCTCATAACAACATTTTGTCGCGTCCAGGAACCATCTCCCTGCTTCAGAGGTCAAGGTCACGCTTATATTTTAAAGGTTCATGCTATCACAATTAGAGATTACAGGTATTATAAAGAACAATATTCAGCAATTTGTTACTTTCATTCTCTTTTCTTTTCATAAGACCTGCATGCTTAAGAAACCTTTTCGGGGGCATTCGTCACTTGGGTGACAGCTCTTGTATATTAATGAAAGAGGAAACTCTTTAGGAAACAAATATGTCACATATTTACTAAGTAATTTGCCAAGATCACTGGCTTTGTATCGTAAAATAGGTCAGTGTATACAAATAAACTTCTTCAGATATGTCCAAATGATGGAATAGCCTTACCTTACCTTTTTTATAAGTGCTAAAACTAGAAATTACTAGGGGAAATAAAAGTCTCATTTAACTTTGTGAATTATTCCTCTGTATTCCTTATGCAAAACAATAATCTCATGTCTAAGATATTATTACCTGTTGGTCAATTTTTGAATATACTTACACATTGAAATACTTATTTAATAAATAATATTATGTTAGTTTGCTACAGCTATCCATTATTAAGCACTGATTTCGCATCAGGTAAAATGTTTTATTTGAGGTAACAAACACAGTCTCTATCAACCGGTTTCACCAGGTCATACAGATAACCGAAACACTTCGACACATAAGGAAGATGATAATGAATAATATGTTTTTAACCTTGTCAATTCTAAACGATACCTTTATTCAAAAAAGCGCATCTGTTAGTTAATTTACAGGACAATAATTGTTTAAAACTAAGTATATTGAATTGAAATATTACCAAATAAAATCCAGATTATTAGTTTCTGCATCTTTTATCTGAAAAGAAAATCAAAAGAAATTATATTAGATAATAACAATAAAAAACAAATTACGTTGTGTAGTGCCTTTGTAATGTAAATATATATTGTCATATTAAATCAATGCAAGTGCGTGAATTGTTTTTATGATTATAGTATTTGTGGTGCGCCTAACTCAAAAAGCATTTGACCTAGAGTCATGAACAATACAGAAATGTTGGTCAGCATGTTAAGTTGTGCGTCTGGGGGTTTGCGTCTGGATTTATTCAGTATTTGTAAAGTTATTGCCCTTGATTTAGTAAAAATGTGCACTTGTTCAACTTGTGTAGCACGTAGCCCAAAAGTATTTGACCTAGAGTCATATAACTTTAGCATTTAAAGGTGTGAAGCCAAAAAAGTGATCTATAGACATGAAACATTAAAGAAATGTTAGTCAGCATGTGTAGTTGTGCACATTGTTGTTTACTTGTGTTTTTGTTCAGTATTTGTATAGTTATTGCCCTTGACTTAGTACAAATTTGAATTTTTTAACTTGTGCCGCGCTTAGCCCAAAAAACTATTTGACAAAGAGTCATATAACTTTAGAAATAATCAGACAAGCCACACAAACACGAACATTTAGTAATTAAATTTAATTGCAAACGTTTCGGCTATATGCCTTCATCAGTGCAAAACATAATAAAATTACCGGAAGCGACGTCATAACGGAACACGCGTTAAACGCGCGAAAAACGTTATGGCGTTTAGCGGCAAAACTATGATAACATGTAGAAACAAATATTTATGCTATAAATAAAGCTGGTACATGAATTAAAATGGATCAACAGTGATACAGATGTCTATTAGACAGTGTTAATAAAAATAAGATAATAGACAAACATATTAATATTCATGTAACCTATTATAAATCAAACAATACTTTATTATTAAGTCCATTTGGAATCATAGTATTTAATTTATGGATCCAGAAAGATTCTTTACATAACCGGTCCATGTTGTTTTCTATAATTTCTATAGGTAAAAATGAAAAATCTGACAATGAGCACTTATTATCGTTTGATCCGAAATGGATCGCAACATGTGAAACTGGATTAACGTCACAATTTCTTATATCAAATCTATGTTTATTCATTCTGTATGATACATTTTGATTAGTCTGACCTACTTATTGCTTTTTACAGCCTTTACATGTAATGAGGTAAATTACATTACGCGTAGTACAGTTAACATCATTGTGTAAATCAAAAGAACTACCTGTTATGCTGCTATTAAATTGGGAACCAACAATTATATTGTTACAATGTGAACATCTACTTCGTAAACATTGGCTAGATAAAAAAGTGCGATCAAGTAAAGCACTTCTCATAAGATAATCTCGAATGTTTTTAGGACGTCTATATGCTAAAATAGGTTTGAACTTGGTATGTATATTTTTAACGCTTACCTTATCAGACAAAAGTAATAGATCCCAATATTTATTTAAGATTTCACCAATATTAGGCAGAGATGTATTAAAACATACAGTAAAAGGTATTATTGAACTAGTATTTTTAACGACAGGACTTAGAGCATCATTTTGGGACATGCCTTCAATTTTAAAAAACGCTTTCTCAATAATAGATTTAGGATAATTTCTATCAGAAAAATATCTATTTAACGTATCTAAAGACTGCTTAAAAGTACCGTCATCGGAATTTTTTTTTTTTTTTTTTTTTTTTTTTTTAATAACTTTAGAAAAAATGTTGATCAGTATGTGAACTCGTGCACCTACTGTTTCGTGTATAGATGTTTTCAATATTTGCAGAGTTATTGCCCTTTACTTAGTTAAAACTTGCAATTTTCAACTTCTGTAGCGCGTAACCCCAAAAGTAATTTGACCTAGAGCCATATAACTTTAGTATTAGTATTTGAAGTTGTGCAACTGCAGTTTCGCGTGTGGATTTATTCGGTATCTATAGAGTTATTGCTCTTGATTAAGATAAAGTTTGCAATTTTCAATTTGTGTCAAGTGAAGCCCAAAAATTGTTTGACTTAGAGTCATGAAACTTTACAGAAATATTGATCAGTATGTCTTGGCTAAACCTGAGTATAAATTTTCAATTTTCCAATTGCATGATGCATTGCTCAAAAATTATTTGATTTGGAGTCATGAATATTTACAGGACTGTTGGTCAGCATGTGTAGTTATGCATATGTGATTGAAATGTATGTCGTTTTTAGCTCGACTATTCGCAGAATAATCGAGCTAATGCAGTCACCCATTTGTCGGCGTCGGCGTCGGCGTCGGCGTCCCTGTGGTTAAGTTTTTGTATGTAAGCTGGTATCTCCATAACTACTGAAGGGAATGGATTGAAACTTCACACACTTGTTCTCTGTGATTATCTAAGATGATTGGCACAAGTCCCATAACTCTGATTTGCTTTTTTTTCATAATTATGCCCCTTTTTCGACTTAGAAATTCTTGGTTAAGTTTTTGTATGTAAGCTGGTATCTCCATAACTACTGAAGGGAATGGATTGAAACTTCACACACTTGTTCTCTGTGATTATCTAAGATGATTGGCACAAGTCCCATAACTCTGATTTGCTTTTTTACATAATTATGCCCCTTTTTCGACTTAGAAATTCTTGGTTAAGTTTTTGCGTGTAAGCTGGTATCTCCATAACTTCTGAAGGGAATGGATTGAAACTTCACACACTTGTTCTCTGTGATTATCTAAGATAATTGCAACAAGTCCCATAACTCTGATTTTGCTTTTTTACATAATTATGCCCCTTTTTCGACTTAGAAATTCTTGGTTAAGTTTTTGCATGTAAGCTGGTATCTCCATAACTACTGAAGGGAATGGATTGAAACTTCACACACTTGTTCTCTGTGATTATCTAAGATGATTGGCACAAGTCCCATAACTCTGATTTGCTGTTTAACATAATTGTGCCCCTTTTTCGACTTAGAAATTCTTGGTTAAGTTTTTGCATGTAAGCTGGTATCTCCATTACTACTGAAGGGAATGGATTGAAACTTCACACACTTGGTCTCTGTGATTATCTAAGATGATTGGTACAAGTCCCATAACTCTGATTTGCTTTTTTGCATAATTATGCCCCTTTTTCGACACATGAATTCTTGGTTAAGTTTTTGCATGTAAGCTTGTCTCTCCATAACTACTGAAGGGAATGTATTGAAACTTGAAGAGTTCACAATACCTTTTCGGACAATTTTATGTATTCATATAGGGAAGCATTATTATACTCAATGAAACACCCTTGTGACAAATTTTCGAATAGTCGAGCGTTACTGTCCTCCGACAGTTCTTGTTATTCCCCCAACCCCTTAGGGTTTGGGGAGTCATGTATTTCCTGTCTCTCTGTCATTTTTTCTCTGTTAGAACCAAGTGTTAGTTGAAATCGCCAGATTTTTATTTACTGTCTTGTTTAAAGCTACTTAAACGCAAGTGGAATTAATTTATTCATGTTCTGACAAGTATGATCTTCTAAAATATAATCTAATATTATTTCGGTATGGCCAAAGTTCCTTTAGTGTTTAATTTGAATGCGCTAATAAAAGCTTTTATATTTTGCACTAGATTTTGACCATTTTTTTTGGTCTTGTTTTTAGCTCGACTATTCGCAGAATAATCGAGCTAATGCAGTCACCCATTTGTCGGCGTCGGCGTCCCTGTGGTTAAGTTTTTGTATGTAAGCTGGTATCTCCATAACTACTGAAGGGAATGGATTGAAACTTCACACACTTGTTCTCTGTGATTATCTAAGATGATTGGCACAAGTCCCATAACTCTGATTTGCTTTTTTTACATAATTATGCCCCTTTTTCGACTTAGAAATTCTTGGTTAAGTTTTTGTATGTAAGCTGGTATCTCCATAACTACTGAAGGTAATGGATTGAAACTTCACCCACTTGTTCTCTGTGATTATCTAAGATGATTGGCACAAGTCCCATAACTCTGATTTGCTTTTTTACATAATTATGCCCCTTTTTCGACTTAGAAATTCATGGTTAAGTTTTTGTATGTAAGCTGGTATCTCCATTACTACAAAAGGGAATGGATTGAAACTCCACACACTTGTTCTCTGTGATTATCTAAGATGATTGGCACAAGTCCCATAACTCTGATTTGCTTTTTTACATAGTTATGCCCCTTTTTTGATTCATAAATTCTTGGTTAAGTTTTTGTGTGTAAGCTTGTATCTCCATAACTACTGAAGGGAATGTATTGAAACTTGAAGGGTTTGTACCTTTTCGGACAATTTTATGTATTCATATAGGTAAGCATTATTATACTCAATGAAACACCCTTGTGACAAATTTTCGAATAGTCGAGCGTTACTGTCCTCCGACAGTTCTTGTTACTTATTGCAGAACATCCCCCGGCCCCCAACACACACGTGCACGCACGCACGCACACACACACACACACACACAAACGCACCCTCGCACGCACGCACCCTACACACACACACACACACACACACACACATACACACGCATATTTTCAAGCATTTTCTTTTATTCTTACTGTCGTTGCAATAAACATATTGTTGTGAAGTAATACAAATCGATATACTAGTGAAATCAAGCTTTTACTTGTATAGACTAGACACAAATACAACATGCATTAAGTTTAGTTATTTTCTCGTATCTTGAAAAGACCGTAAAATGTTAATCTGAATTCAAATTGGGTACAAAATATACAAAATGTGATAAACATATTGGAATGATGACATGTACTGCTATATCAGTTATTGTTCAAATATTCTATAGTATGTCTTGCTTTAAATTCACGTCAAACTTCATTCTTGTTCTTATCAGACTAAGTTTAAGTGTAGTTTTTGTTGTATTTTGACAAACCTTTTAGATATCAAACGTTTTTAATCGTTGTTGATAATGCACCTCTTTCCAAAATAAAATAATTTGTCAAATTCTGAACATAAGCACATTTTTATTTTTGTATTTTGCAAAACAGGACCAAATATCAGATGAATTTTTTTCTGTTGATACAAAAGCTAAAAAGCAGTCAAGAGTAAAGTTTTCACTCACGTGTCAATCGTCTGATCGGACTAGAAATTGCACAAAACGTCGATTTTCAGTTTATATCTGAGAATAATCTTTTATTATGCCACAATGTGATCTTTGTTAAAAAAAAACAAATTTTATTTTTTTTACATTTGAGATGGAGCCCCTTTAATATTACAAAATTAAATGAGCCGCGTCATGACAAAACCAACGTAGTGCGTTTGCGACCAGCATGGATCCAGACCAGCCTGCCTGTGCATCTGCACAGTCTGATCAGGATCCATGCTGTTCGCTTTCAAACCCTATTACAAGTAGAAAAACTGATAGCGAACAGCATAGACCCTGATCAGACTGCGCGGAGGCGCAGGCTGGTTTGGATCCATGCTGGTCGCAAACTCACTATGTTGGTTTTGTCATGACGCGGCTCAAATGAAAAAAGAGGGGAATTAGTTTGTTTTCTTGTTTCTGCTTTTGCGGGGCATGGGATATACAGATCTGCTCGTGTATTCTTTAAAAATTGAGCAACAAATGCATTTCCCTTACTTAGAATATATTTTACTTAAAATGACTACGAATTTAGATTGCAATACTATATCGATAAAAACAATAGTAATCATTATGTATCATTTAGATATTTGCAAAAATATTGCTTGAAAAAAAATGTTTAAAAGTGTTTTTCGTCTGACAATTTGTATGATTAGCAATAATATTTTTTGCTCTTGAAAATACCTATAATCTGCTAATTAAATACTAGTATACATGTAACTTCGGATTTTGTATCTTGCACATGCCAACAGCATACATGTATTAGTCTTTCATGTTTTGATGATATGTTTTATACTAGATACTATCAACATAATTGTTTAATACTTTACATACTTTTTTATGGACCAAACCACTTTAACGGATATGTTATAAAAAGAGACAAGATGATAATGAATATATAACATAGAACATCTTTAATTTGGATCATTTTTGTTAAATCTATAAACTTGAAAACAGAGCAAGATCTGACAATATGAGACAGTTAAACAATTAATATAGATACCAAAGAATATAACAGTCTTCTGTAGCCCCCGCCACAAACGTACGTCATTTTAAGCAAACCTTTGTAAAATCAAATTTTGGTCTGAAATTACTTTCCTTTTTATCATTTTAAAGCCACGAAATCTGTGAAGATTTCACAAAGAATGAAAGAGTACATGTATACATAACTACTTTAAAATTATTTCATATCTTAAGTGTTTGTAGAAGAAGACTATTATCATATAATAATAAAAATTATTCTTACCTTTTGCTACAGAAACAAAATCCCCTTTCTATGAAATCAAAATTGAATGAATTAAATCACCACAGTACACTGATAGTTATTATCATCAAACAGTATTCATAGTGATTGTAAATATCATAAGGATCGGCTTTGTATTGACACAAAGTAATCTGAGCTTATCAGATCCAAGCTTTAGATTATATTTGTAAGTAAAAATAGCTGCCGAATATTTTGTTCCCCCTGTTTACGTGCATTATTCAAGTATATTTTATTATATAAACATTCTGTTCAACACACTTTTTCAACGACTAATAGGTAGTGATAACAACATTATGATAGTTTTACTGTTGTTTTTCTTAATTGTCATAAAAATATTATCAGATATACCTTTTCACACTTTAGGGAGTGTTTAAATTTGTAATATTTCATATTTAAATCATTCATATTTAATTGATAAAACAAGGCCGAAATATAATCTTTATTTTATTATCTTCCTTACACATCTTATAGATAGGACATAAGGTGCCGCCTTACAAACATAATCTCGTATTAGATAGTGTTAAAGGGCGTATACGGGCATACTTTTGAACTTGAGCAACTTTATCTCAATAATTAGAGATATTATTATTTCAAGCTATAAAGTCAGCGGGAGTATAGGAAATCGTTCTTGAGGTATTGACTTATTGTGCATGTACAAAATGTCTCGTTGGTTTAGCTCATATCTTTTATCTTTTAAAAAATATAGAGGGACTACGGTGTCCTATTTCGTCCACAAAATTCCGCTAGTAAACACGCGATCTCGTTAAACCCATAGTAAAAGACAAATATCACTATTCTGTTTTTATGTAATTGCTATAAGTAAAATATCTAGAGTTAAGTTTATTTAAAGAAACTTCAGTGTTATTATATTTTTCTGGTTTTTCTGGTCAATATGTCGACAATATATTACCGCTGACGCTAGCGCTAGGGGACGGGAGGGATGTTCCACTAACCAGATAGAAAAATCCTTCAATGTTACTAAAAATAGCGGTGTTGGAAAATCTTATCTCACATGGGCTTATCTCACACTCAACGTGCAGCACTTCTAAATAATACGAGGATAGGGAAATCCCAACCCTCGGGCAATCGGTTCCATCGGGAACTCGCCAAGGCTCGTTCCCGATGGAACCGATCACCCTCGGGTTGGGATTTCCCTATCCTCTATCAATCCCAATGATAGATTCTATTATTCCATTTTGTCAGTATCCATCGTGTACAGACTCAAACAAACCGGGTCTGCAATTTTCATCTAATTTTGTTGCGATTAATGCTTTCGAAGGATCATCCTTTACCAGATTTCATAGTGTTTCAATTCAGTACACAATAATTGGTATTTTCCAAATAGCCCATTTTGTTGGTACAGTAATTCTTCAAATACCCCTTTACTCTTATTTTGAAGCAGATTCCATATGGAAGATATTAATAGTGTCTATGATTGAAAAGGTAACGTTACCTTTGTTTTATTTTTTTATTTTGCTTGTGCGACTCGAACAGTTGTATTTATTGATCAAAATATCAACCGATTATCTTTGGGAGTTGACTTACTGTAATGGTGATCAGATACACAAAGATCAGAAGTGAGGCCATGTGACTTAAATAAGGATTATCTACAATATATGTTTGTTTAACTGCATGTCTGAGATGAAGAGTTTTCACATGACCTTTTTCCTTGTTATGAGATTTGAAAGTGTTTGCATGACCGTTTTGATTTGTTTAAAAAGTTTTATACTAGTAAGTGAAGAGCCGAACCACTTGCATGTCAGAGCATGTTCATGTTTCTAGTAGCTGAAAAGGCGATAAATGTCCAATTTATTATTCTTCAGAGTACTTTTATTATTATTAAATAATTTTCAAAATGTACTTGTATCAGCAGCCATGACCGTAACAAACTTTGACCATTTTAATTGAAAAAATAAAAAGATTTGTTAAATGTAAACGTCACCAAAATTTTGCGCGAGTCATATAAATACTTTAAATAATATGCAATTTCATATCATTATAGATAGGACGAATTTTTTTGTATAGGATCTAATAATTCATTTTATGAATTTGCTCCTAATTTAAGCGTTTAACATGTAAAAGCGAGGTTTCTCGGAAAATATTTTTCGAATACCTTTTGACGTTATGAAAAGCCTACAGTGCGTCAAAACAAAACAGCGTTGTGGTATTTTTGTAGCAACAGATTGTCGTGCCTGAAAATTCATTTCATCATTTGCTATCAAGGATTAAAACAACGTTTACGAAATAATCTATTGGGCCAGCGAGTAACCAATGCACTGAAACACTGATTTTGATCTAAATTATCATATAAAGAAAGAGAATTGCAGGGTCTCTTAAATTTAGCTATTTAATTACATTAAAGTAGTGTTTTGTTTATGTTTTCTAAGCTACCCGGTATCATTAAGTCCTGTTTTTATTTTTGTAGGATACTCAACACATTTCGTCACAATTGATGTTCTACAAGTGATAGCTTAGGCAATTTTTTATCCTAGAAATTGCAAATTTCCATTTAATACACCGGTTTATAAATGGGTTTTGTTTCAAGAATGCCCGTGGCAAACTTGTAACATCAAGCTTTGTCAGGGTTTTATCTTTTACGTCATGAGCTAAAATGTAGCATACATTGAAACGTCTCTACTGTGGAAGTCAAAATCTCACTTTGAGTTCAGACGAAAACGCTTGTCCGAACATGCATCTTCATGCATAAAATTGTTGACACAAATGTTCAATAATGATTCATATAGTGTCACGAGCAAAAATAAAGGTCCCTGTAACCAAGGTCAAGATTATTCATAATGGCTAGATGAGTTTAATTTTTGTGCTCTTGGTGTTTTACGATAAGTATTGATTAAAAGGTCATTTTCATAAAAAAAAACAATCCTAATAACATAGTTTTTTATTAATGGGTTGTTTCAAGTTTATAAAACTAACCCAGAATTTTAATTAGATAGAAATATTGTAATAAAATGACACAAGTTGTAGCAAGTCGGAAAAAATACAAATGTTTCAATCCGAATGTTTACAAAAAGCAATTATTCTTGTAAAAGACAACTTAATAAGTGTAATTAACTTTGAAATATAACTTTCCTTTAGTTAATGATTCTGAAATCTCCTAATTTGCCGTTTTAATTCTGTTTCTTTGCTCTTTTTCCCAGCCAAATAGCTCAAATATCGACTGTTGCTTTTCCAAATGGGATGATAATGGGCTCTTCTGTAGTTGATATATGTTCATGAGAACAATACAAACACTAACAATATTTCAAGGTATCTTTTAGAAACTAGTATTAAACTGAAATACCAACATTTCAACATTACACTAGTGTTTTAAGTTCATTTCAAGGACTGATCTTTATTTAGATAAGAAATTTTGGTTCCTTGGAAGATAGTTCTTAGTTGGTCAAAGAAAAACATTTTATGAAGAATAACAAGTTATTTTCTCATTAATGTAGTTTGAATTTTATTGATAATATCTTTAAGTGAAAGACAACTGTCAGATTTTTATGCAAACCGGCCGAAAAAAATCTACGATTTATACGATTACTAGGATTGTAACAATTTACAGGGTAGCCTTTAAGTGATTCCGATCCCTAAAGAAGAATAAAATACTTTTTAGTCGTTTCTCATACTAGAACAGTTACATATATGCAAATTACCTTTAAAGTCATCAGTGCTACGAAAAAAAAACGTGATAAAACTTATGAATTTTAGATATGAATTAAACATTAACTGTTGAAATCTTTTAATGATTTAATTTGACATGTAACATATCTTGCATGGATTGTCTCTATTGAGGTCTGTCAGTTTTATTAACTTACATATAATAAGTGCATACAGTATATTCGCTATAAAAAGTACATGAGAGAAGAGACAATATTTAATCCAAAACTACCAAAACAAAGTGGAAAGTGCCAAATTTTTTTGATGAAATGATCTTATCTTTAAATGTTTGCAAACATGATTTGACATTGTGTGCGTTGATGGCATTGGAACAAATAGTTTTTTGTTTTTTTTTAATCTTTTAAATATTTTCAAATTACATATCAATTTCAGAAACTTTGCTTTACCGACATATTCTTGAGGATCATGTATCATGTTTAGTTACCTGTTCCCGAATACGATTTTTTTCATTGAAACAAAACCTCCAAAAAAGAGTTTATCTAGCATTTATAGAAAGTATTTTAGGTGAATTATCAACTTAATTCCTTTCTCTTTTTCAGAGTAAATGGCTTTTGTTAGCTCTTCGTTTCAGTCAAATTGTCTAAATATCGACTGTTGCTTCACTGGCAGGGATGATAATTGGCCCTTATCTCTTGATTTGTGTTGTACAAGCAACAAATCTAACACTTGATATCAAATCTTTACAGAAAGGGTGAAAACTTCTTTCATAATATTTTCGTATTAATTTTAATCTTTTTCTGGGGAAAAAACAATTTTTTTTTCTAATTTCATGGGCTTTAAATTTCTTTACCAATATCTATAAAAATACTTTTAACATATTAAAGTTTGTTTTTAAGGGAAAATCATGGTTTTGCTTTTGCGTTCGTACGTTTTTTTAAAGGGGGGGAAAAATTTTGGGCTTGTTTTTAACATTTAACTTTTTAATTATATATATATATATTTTATGTTATAAATTTTTTGACTATTACAAAACTTTTGTCTTGGGAACTGTTTTTATCAATTTTAATTTTTCAAAACACACGTTTTTTGCTTTTTTTCCCCTGTTTCCAAATTTTCATTTTAACTTTTAAATATTTTTTTTTGTAAAACCCTTTTAAAATTTGTTTTTGTCAAGTCAGTTTTGCTAATTATTTGTTTTTATCCTATTCAATGTATTGTTTATAAATTGCAAAGGTACAATATAAAACAGAATCATCATAATGACTGTTGTTGTTGTTATTTTTTTTGTTGTTGTTGTAGTTTTTTTTTTTTGTTGATTTTTTTGTCATAGTTATCAATTAAATTTTAGGTTATATTCATAATACAACAGTCATGAAATTAAAGACAAAATTTGTAAATTGTATCGTTTCTATGAATAAAGTTGTAATAGAAATACATGTATAAATATATATATAAAAAAGTGTCAAAAAGCAATAGAGGTATAATTTGCATTTCAAATCACCTTCATTTGGTCTTTAAATAAAATACAGACCTATTTCTTGTATGGTAACAGGAGAACCTCAATATGATTGTGTTAAATCCTACATACAATTCATTTAAACAACATCGTCAGACAAAAATATTTTAATCAGGGTAACAAGTGGTTTCAC